TGGCTGTTAGGCCAGTGAGTTGTGTAGTTGGCCCCAGTCACTGTTGAAGGAAAGTCTCACGGAAATATCTGGGAGCAGCAAGAAGGTAGGTGGGACAATCAGAATCACACCCCTGCCAGGTCCTTGAATTACCCCTGAGGGCGTCCCAGTGCGAATAACCATCTTGATTTATTACTGAGGATGTATCAGTTTTAGGGAAGGGGAGAGGGGTTAAATTTAGGACACACTGAAACTTCTAGGCTAGTGGGGAATTCAGTAGAAATGCCTAGCAAGTAACTGGTAATCCAGAAATGGGTCTTGGAAATGGGTAGAGAATGTGGGCATAGATTCAGAAGTAATCTCCACACACTTGAAAGTTGAACATAAACTACGAATAAAATTTCTAAGGGAAGTGACATGAAGTGAGAAAAATAAAAAGCCAAGAAACAAGTCTTCAGAAACAATGATACTTGAGGGGGTGGAAGAGAGAGGAGAAGCAAGGAAGGGAAATATGAGAACTCTGATGACAATACTCATTCATTTTGAGAGCTAAGAATACCAGATCTTCATTAATACATTCATTTAAATTTAAATTTCAAGGTTTTTAATGAGGATAAAAAATGTACTCCTCTATAACAATCCATTTACTCGCTCGGATATTAAAATAGATTACCCAGCCGACAGGCAACTGGACATTATCTGTAATGAAAAGCAAAATGATTTTTTTTAAATTCAGTGTCCCAGAACTAATTTATCAAGACTTAAAGTTTTGCCGAAGAAACAGAAGAACTTTTAGACATGTATGATTTGTTCTGAATTGTAATCATTCTTTTACTCAACAAACATTCTACCCTTCTGGCCAGCGTTAGGTGCAATGGGCATGCAGTCATTTTTCTTGGGCCGGCTGCCTCATTCCCTGTGCCCACACACTGCTCCCCCTACTGGTATGGTGGACTTACTGCCACCTTTGCTCCTGTAAGGATGACCACAGGGGCTCATTGGCTAGCGTCTGTTAAACCCTAGGTATGCATGCCAGGCACTACACTAGGTGCTATAAATGGATTTTCTCATTTCACCTTCAAAATTGAAGTGGATATTAATATCACCCCTATTTTACCGCTGTGGAGTCTTACATGTTAAGAAACTTGCCTAAGGTCACAAAGCTATTAAATGGTGCAGTCAAGACTCTATATAGGCTGACCAATACCAAAGAGGCTGCTTTGAGCCTTGCTGCTCGAAGCGTGGTCCTCAAACCAGCAGCAATGATGATATTGGCTCAGTCAGAATTTGGTATTAACAAGGTCCCCAGGTGATCCCTCTGCACATGAAAGTTTGGGAAGCACAGGGTTGTCACTCCACTAGGCAGACTTCACTTTGAAGGGCCCCGGGGAGATGGGAACCACCTTTCCCCTGAGGTAAAATTTTAGGGGAACAAACACGTGTGTGTGTGTGTGTGTGTGTGTCCATTGGCAAAAGGAAGGATTCAGACAACAGGTTGCGGTTTCAAACACTGGAGGTCGGCAAGGGTCTGGCCCAGTCTCAAGAGCAGCAGATACTGAGCTGGGTCTTGAAGCCAGAACATTTTCTCAATTCATTTCATTAAAACTAGGTGCTCTTCCAAATGGACAAGTGCCCACATCAATAATCTGGAGTTAGCCTCTCCAGCCTGCATTCCATTTTCCAAATAGAATCCAAGTATCAACCGCACGGACAAGCAGATTTGAAACCTCAGTAGAACTTGGTATTATTTATTACATAGTTTATCATATTGCTCAGCTTAAAATTGACTAGTTTAAAGAATAATGTGCCTAACAAGACAAGTTTTCTCCTCAGTATCAACTGCTCCCCAGGTATGGGTGCTTGGTGTAAAAAGCGGATGCAAGCCGGCTGGTGTGCCCGTCCCCGGTTACAGGTACTTAATTCAGGGTGCGGCGTCGCCTCTTCCAGCCCCCTTTGAAGCGGCGCCGGCCCGCATCCTTCTCGGGTGCGGCCCAACAGTTCAGCTCCTTTCACCGGATGGCACTTTATTGCTTGTCACCAACTCACCCTAGCTTCCTAGGGCCCTAACCAGCGTGCCACCTTCCAACTTATCCGCGGAGACCTACCCTGGCCTCTCGTCGGCTGCGATCCCCACCCGCACCCGGCACCCCCAGGAAGGGGTGGCGCGGGCAGCGCTCCCTCGGGTGGACCAGCCGAGCGGCGGCGGTGGCAGACGGCGAGTCACGTGTGGCGGTGGGGGCGGAGCGCGGCTGGCCGGGTGGGTGGAGAAAACAAAGCCCCCAGCTGTCAGTCGAAGAAGGAGGCGACAGCGCCGGAGCAGGTGAGTCAAGTGCATTTAAAGCGATACCGCCCTGGCGCACCCCGACCCCCCCCAGCTCTGGCGCAGTCCCTCCCAGGTCGGGCGCGGGCCGCGCCTCCTCCCGCCGCCGGGGGCTGCAGTCTGAGCCCGCGGGACCTGGGGTCTCCGAGCCCAGCAAGAAGTTGCGCAGGGTCGGAGCCGCGGCCCCCGGGTGTGCACCCGCTGGCCTCCCGCGGGC